CAATGAGGTCTAGTAGCTTTTTTACTGAGTCTTTGGGGTTTTCTACGTATAGGATCATATCGTCTGCAAATAGGGAGAGTTTTACTTCCTCTTTGTCAATTTGGATGCCTTTAATTTCCCTGTCTTGCCGTATAGCTCTTGCTAAGACTTCCAGCACAATATTGAGTATATTTTCTGATTACCTCCAGGAAGATGTGATCAGGATGTGGTCTTCCTTTTTCACTCTCCTTATTGCTTAACTCAGAGTAACTTTTTTGGGCCTCAGTTGGGCCTGGGCCTCAGCTGCAGGTCATTTGGGCCTCAGGCGGGTGGGTTAAGCCTAGGGCGGGCGGTTTGGGCCTCTGGGGGCCTAGGCATCAGCGACTGGGCTACAGGAGGGTTGGTCCTCGGGCGGGTGGTTTGGGCCTTGGGCAGGTGGTTTGGGCCTCGGGCGGGCGGTTTGGGCCTCAGGGGCCCTGGGTATCAGTAGCTGGGCATCGGGCGGCTTGGGCCTCAGTGGGCAGGTTGGGCGGATTGGGCCTCGGGGGACCTGTGTCTCGGGGACCGGGTTGAGGGTGGGTTGGGTCTCGGGGGCACTGGGCCTTGGCGACCTGGCTCTGCAGCGGGTTGGGCCTCAGGGGCCCTGGGCTTCAGCGACCTGGCTAAGTCCTGGATCTCGGCGGCAACTGGTCTGTGGGCCACCTGGGCCGCTGGGTGGGTGGGTGATTTGGGCCTTGGTTGGGCCTGGGCCTTTGTGACCAGTCTGTGGGTGGGTTGGGCCTCAGGGCAGGCCTTGGCCTCTGTGGGAGTGTCTGGGCCTTGGGACGGCCTTGGCCTCAGTGGGTGGGCCTGTGCCTTGGGCGTTCCTGAGCCTCGGTGGCTTTGCAGAGTGCTGGTCTAGGCTGGGGCAATAGAGGGCTGGGGGTAATGGCTTCAGGGAGGTAGTGTCTGTATTTGATGACTTAAAAGATGCCTCTCTCAGTCTCTCTGTGCCGTGGGTACCCCGAATTTCCTGATATCCACGCCGATATCCCTTTCTATTTGTTCGGCTTTGTTAGTTTATGCTTCCTTTTCTCTGGAAATGCAGCCTTATAAGTGGGGTTGCTCTAGCCCTGCATTCCAAGGTCTGCAGGGGGCAGAGGCACTCGCCGGCATGGGTGTGGAAGTGGGAGACATGTGCAGGCAGGCAAAAGCTCAAAATACCTGTAGTTCCTCAGCAATTTAATCTTTTATAAAAACGAGTTCAGAATGCTGAAAAAATATAAGATCTTATGTTTGTTCAAAGGCTGTCTGTCTGCTAGACAGAGGTTTCTTATGTACGATTCCACCCCTTTTCCCTGAGACTGCTCTACCTGAGCTGCCTGGTCAGGGAACCGCCAGAAGTCCTCCACTACCTTATTATCTTGATTAGAATTTGATTTGATTTTTTTCAGTCTCAATATACCAAAGTTCATATATATTTTGATTTTTCCGTAGAATCTAAAGCTGGAAGGAACAGAGGATCTTTCTGATGTTCTTGTGAGGCAAGGGGATTGAGTTGCCTACATTGATGACGGCATCAGGAGACCCATCATTTTCACAATGACCAGGATCCTTCCACTGTGGGTGCAGGAGGATGCTGAAGGCTTGTAGCTGCGCTCTAGCCTACTTACTCAAGTGCCTGTGTGTTTTTCTTTCCTTCTTTCTGTCACAGCTTGACAACCAACACTTCGGCTCACTGTCCTTGGGTAAAGATTTCTGTCCTGTTAACGATCGACTGGGAAGCAGGTGGGCAAAGGGTAGGGGAGGGTAAGAAAACTTTTCTTAAGTATGAAAACCTACATCCATTCTGTGTGTCCATGTATACTTTTAGTCTCCTTTACTGATCTGGCATTTTCTATACTTTACTCTTATAAGAGGGACTTATTGTCTTTAAAGAGCTACCTAATCCATGTACATAAAATATATTATGTGTGTTCTTGTAAATGTATATATAATGCTTAAAAATAAAAACATGATATAATTGAGCAAAATACATGAGGACTAAACAAGTATTAGGTCTGACCTTTACCTTCTACAGGGATACAGTCCTGTTTACTGCACACCACACCCACATATCAGTGTAAAAGCAGGAAGTGTTCATGTGCTGAGATAATGCTCCTTGTAGGAGAGTGCCGGAGGAAGAAGTAACCGTGACTGCAGGTTCCAATTTCAAGATCAAGCCATTCTGCTAGAATGTGACGGTCTTAGTCTCAGCCTGCTACCACAGCAGTGCCACAGGGGGGTGACTTTAACAAGCATCTGTCCTATCTCACTGCTGAGGAGGCAAGAAGTCCACAGGCAGGGCTCCAGCTCCCAGGGAAGGCTTGCTCTCTCGACTGTGGGGGAAAGTCCTTGTCTCCTTTCATCATCTGTGGTCTGTCCTGGCATCCCTGGGAGGTTTGTGGGTGCCTTGGCAGCAATGGCACCCCAGGTCAAGGATGTGCTTTTCTTCCAACTTTTCTCTCTTGGTGGTAGGATGTCCCTCTGATGTCTGCTTACTTGTTTAATCTCTTATAGCTCAAAAACGGTTGACTCAAAATACAACTTAATCCTGTAGATTATATCCTGCCTCTTGTTAACATCCTAGGGGTTAGGAATGACAGCATGTAGGGTAATTACATTGGATCACAATGTAGAGGATAATGACAGACTACTGAATCATGTCCTAGCCATGTTGGCACATATTTTGCAGGGATGCAATGCAGTCCACAACAGTGACAGTACTAATCATTGCTAACATTTATTAAGTGCTTGCCAAGTGTCTTCTGTGGATTACTTCACTTAGCCTTCTCAGTAAATCTATAAGATTTCCTCATCCTTTACAGATGAGGAAACAGCTACACACAAAGGTAAAGTAACTTGCATAAGGACAGACAACTAACAAGCAGAATAAGGCCTTGAGCCCAGTAACCTTTGTTCTTAGCCCCTGTTGTATATGCTGCTCAAATCAGAGGCTCAGTAACAAAGAGCAAAGACGCAGATTTCCTCTGCTCTGCAGGATCAGTGTGTCCACAGCTGTGTAAACTTCTCTTAACTTGAAGGGACCAGGTTGCAGAGAGGGCCAAGGCAGAATCAGAGGGAACTGTCCAGCCACAAATTCAGGGGTCTCCTAGGCTACCCTCACTCCACACTAGCTGGTTTGATAATTTGCTAAGAAGACTCATGGAACTCTCAGAACCCTCCTACTCACAGTCAGATTTATTACAGGGAAAGGATGCAAACTAACCAACAAGAGGAAGAGACACATGGGGCAATGCTGAGAGGGGTCTGGAGATGCAGTTTCAGATTTGCCTCACCCTATGGGGTCACCTACTGCTGCTATCTTCCTTGTGTCCGTATAGACTTGTGGAGCGAATTCAGCTTGTGTGGTCAGTTCCATCTGTATCTGGAGCTTCCATGTGATCTTTTAAAAGTATAAATTAAATCATGTATCACTTGCAATTGTTTCCCACTGTCCTCAGAATCCAAACTTTCCTCAAGCTGACCCACCTGTTCTATCCTGTCCTCAGAGTCACCCTCTTGTTCATCAGGTTCCTGCATAGTAGAATTTTCTATCTGTCCCTGGAGCAAGTCAGGCCTATTTCCACCTGCTTTTCTCTCTTTATAGAATGTATCTTCCCACATCACCATCTGATCTCCACTAGGAGGTCAGAAAAGGTTATTCCAAAAGTAAATAGCATCTTAAAGATGCAGCTTTTTTGGATTGCCCTTTACTGACCTCCTGAAGTAGCCTTCAAATTCCTCTCTCACCTCAGCCTCTCTTATTGTCTGCATGACCTTACTGCTCTCTGGGATGATCTTGGTCACTATTGCCCACTCCTGAATGGCAGCTCCGTGGGGGAAGGCAGCTTGCCTGCCCTTGCCCTCTGCGTCTCCAGCTTCTAAAATAGTATGTAGAGTGACTGAACAATCCCCTTTTAAAACAAAAAAAGCATGACATTTTGAGCAACAATAGGACACTGAGTTGGGAGGTCAAGTTGTAAATTGAAGTTACAGTTCTAAAAATACCTAACTATGCAGCTTTGAACCAGACCCCTAGCTTCCCCAGACCTCAGCTTCCTCATTTGTCAGATAGGCCTATTCATCCATCCTTAGCCTATTACACAGATCTAATATGTGCAAAAATGGTTTTGAGATAGTTGAAACGTAAACATACAAGCAATAAATATTCTGCTAAGGAATTGCTCCAGTGGTTTTACAACAATAATTTTTCCTAATCCCTTGTTGAGGCAAATAGGAGTTTGCAAGGAGCATGCGGTAGCATCATGGGTTACAAGTTTGGCCGCTAAACCACAAAGTCAGCAGTTTGAATCTACCAGCCACCCTGGGAGAAGGATGAGGCTTTCTGCTCCTGTAAAGATTTACAGGTGAGTCGGAACTGACTCCATCGGACGTAACCACCAAACCACCACTGATGTTTGCTGTCCATTTGGTATTCTATAAGAGTAGGACTCCAGGATCCTGGTTTCAGGCTGGAGTGCTGTCTCCCAGCCATGATCCTGTTCAGAAAGCAGACAAGAGACTGTATTTGCTCAGTCTGCACATCAGTGCTCTTTACGCACAGTTAACATCTGACTAGAGAGGAGTCCTGGTGTGGCATTGCAAATTTATGCACTAGACTGCAAGCTTGGTTTGAACCACAATATTGGTGGTTCAAGCTCACTAGCTGTTCTCGGAAACCCTATATAGGGTCTCTATGGGTCGGAACCAGCTCGATGGCACTTGACAACAACAACAGAGACACACAACACTTCCCTTTGAACTCTACTGTCACTAAAACTATTCACCTTGGATTATAACAACTCTCTGAATTCACAAAATTTTACTTTCAATAAAAATGATTTATGAAATAAAAAAATGGATTCTATTTGTATTCTGTTGTAAGAAGTTTCGCATGAGTAAATAAATCCTCAAACTGGGGGGAGAACCTATTTCAGATTAAATGAGTCTTGCACATCTGTATCTCTAGTGGAATAATGCTGTACAATGTGTCTGTCAAAGGGCAGGTATTTTAATGCTCCATTCATTCTGGATGAAATGTCTCTTTAATGACGTCTCTGCCACATCTCCAGAGAACAATTCAGACTTTGTGTGGAGCTGTAGTGGTCGCCTTTCCAGTGAAGATAAACTTCCTTTGCTCTTTGGAGATTGTTGGCTGGAAAGTTGCCTTTTGGAGCTCTGCTCAACAATCTTATTTTATTTCCCCAGGAAGGAAATACTATAGTCTCCCAGATTTATTTGCTTCTTAGGCTTTGAGGACAAGTTGTTCCAGGATGCCTGATTCCAGTGCTAAAGTATTTCTTCCTAACTGAAATATTTTTCCTAAATCGAAGATAATTTTTCCTGGATGAGGATGAGGGGGCTTTCCCAAAATAGGGCCTGGCAAAAGGTAGGAATTCCTCAAAATACTGCAGAACCAGAGAAGAGGGAGACCAGACCATGCCCTAGAGGAGAAAGGCCAAGGAACTGGAACTGGCCATCCTATTCTTGCAGAAGAAGAGATGAAGGCAGGAACATGGGCAGAGAAGACTGCCGGCACCTGGAGACTGCCAGCAAGCCTCTCACTCGTGCTCAAAGACATTCCGCTTTCTGGCAGATGGAGCTTCTGAGCACTTGTCTAAGAGCTAGGTCTGTAAATTCATGCATCTGCAGCTGAATGCCTTCCAGCCGAGACTTGCTGATAGAGTGGTGCCTCTGGACACATAAATGGTAGAACTAAAAGAGCTTTGTAACATCTGCCCGAGTAGGGAAGAGGCCATGTGAATGGGCAGGTCTCTTGGGGAGTCTGTCCTACTCAAAGAACTATCCTGAGTCGTCCTGATTCTTAATCCCCATAACGGAGTCTTGTCTGCAAGTTCTGTGTGCTCACGGGGTTATCAAACCCAGCAGATGGGGAAAGAGTCATGGGGGAGTGGTTGCTGTGGGAATTGGTGAAAAGGCTGAAGGGTGGAGGCATGTCTGAGCTCCACTTCACTGGAATGGGCCTTGGGCTAATGCTGACAGTTATTCCCCTCCAGAGGAGGTCAGAGGTCACCAGGATGAGGGGGTGGTGGTGGTGGTGGCTGAGGTATGCAAGAAAAAAGAACTATTGTAAATACAATAAAATACATAATTTGTGTCGTGAAGAGCTGTGGAGTTGGTTCCAACCCATAGCAACCCTGTGTAGGGTTTCTGAGGAGCAGCTGGTGAACTTGAACTGCTGACCTTGCAGTTAAAATGGATTTGCAGCCTGGCGCATTAACCCACAGCGCCACACCACGACTCCAAAATAGATAATAACAAACATTAACTTATGAGAGGATACTTAAGCAGATTTACAGCCTCAGACATTTTATGCAGGGTTGCTATGAATCGGAACTGACTCCACGGCACACACATAAGCAGACTCCTAGTGTGGTGCTGTAGGATAATGTGCTGGACCACAGGTTGGCAGTTTAAACCCACCAACTGCTCCTTGGAAACCCTGTACAGGGTCGCTGTAAGTTGAAACCAACTCCGTGGCATTTAACAACATA